TTCTCTCTCTCTCTCTCTCTCTCTCTCTCTCTCTCTCTCTCTCTCTCTCTCTCTCTCTTTCTCTCTTGTCTCATACAATTTCTCACCACGATGTCTCCATGTTTCTCGAATCCCAAAAGGTTATCCCACGACCGTGTGAACGATGAAACAAGATGTAATCTCGGCAAGTGCTCTTTCGCGAGAGATGGTAGAGCGGATGAGAAAGGATGGAAGAATTCATTCCAGAAGGATAAACACGTGTGAACGAATGTTGATGTTAAAATAGAATGTTGAATTTTGCTAGATTTTCGATAATCATTTGAATGATTCTCGAAATGACGAGGAAAGTGTATGTATGTATGAATTTTCATGGATTGGAAAATTTAGGAAAAATTAATACAAGTGTAACGTGTTTTTCTAAGAAATTTTTGGTAAGCAAGTTTTAAAGGTAATTTTGAATGAGACGAATGCGTTCTTCCTTTTTTTAGGATTTATTTTTATTTTTATTATATCAGATATTATGTACATAGATATTTTATTATATATTATTTCCAAATTTCGAAATGAAAGGAATTGCTCTGTATAATAAATATTTGCAATTGATGGAAATAATTCATTAGTTCAGATTGTTATTGCACTTGATTTTGAATTATGGGTGTTTCATTTAAATTCGTAAAATTCACGAAAGAGTTCGATTTTTTTATTTCGATTTCGATCTTTCGATCAATCAAAAGCAATATTTGTATAAAAAGATTTTACGGTTGAAATAGGTTCAATTTGTATTTTATTAAATTCTTCTTCCTATTTTATTTTTATTATAATACATATTTGCAACTTATTTATAACTTATACATAACTTGGCACAAATCTAGGTCACTGTAATCCTTGACCTTGCCCTTTCCCACGTCATTTGATTGTCCTAACAGCATTTACAGTTCGTTTCATTCTAGGTCAATGAAGTTGCATAGGGAAAGATCAAACAGAAAATTGTGAAAGTATGTAAGTGAAAAGAAAGGCCAAGAATCTTATTGAGCATTCTCTTAAGAAGAAAGAATAGTGAACGATATTACTTGACGAAGAAACAAATTAAATCGAAAAAAAAAAACTAACTTGTAGCGTTGCACTTTCTTTAAATTGTATCGTTCTATATTAATTATACGGAAAGATGTTCATTTTACACGAAGATGGAAAAATGGCAAATTAAGAGAATAGAACAGTAATAAACATTAATTCTTAAAGAGAAGTAGAAATAATGTTCGGGAAATGAGAGTAAGAGAGCGAGAAAATCGAAATAAGACACGCGGAAAATTGTGAAAGCTGACAGGAAATCTTCTCGTATTTTGTCAGAAATAGGGATGGTTTTTCTTCTTTGCCACACGAGGCGGACAGGAAGTCTAAATGTCCGCAATGCCGTTTCCTCAAAACCGGAAAATTATCGGAGAATTCGCTGACGTTGCGAAAGAGAAATGGACACGATCAAATTTCGACGATTTGAATCTAAACGTTGGTGATGAAAAAAAAAAATAAAAAGTATACTTATATCAATATAAGTGAAAAATGGTAAAAATTCTAAAAGGAATATTTTAAAAATTATTGATCTAGATTATCTAGATATAGATTAATTATATTTTAATTTATAACTTATTAAAAATTTGAAAGATCGTTATAAAACTTACTTAAAATTTGTAGTAAAAAAAAAAAAGTCAATGATCATGAAATTTTGTTATTTTTGGAGGACGTCTTTATTAATCTTCTTATCCATATTCATTCAATCTGAAAAATTAATTAAAGAGAAAGGTAAATATTTAGCGGGATTATATAAAATATAAAAAAGAGATAGTATATTGTTGATACATCGCATAAATTCAAACTGACGTCGTTTCACTTTCATAAAAGTAAAAGATAAAGCAGGATGATAATAGGAATAGAACAGACTGCGATAAAACGAACAACTGACGCTGTTAACTTCGAATTTATTACTCGATGTTATTGCAAATCTTGATATATATTCATTTTCTTATACAAATTTTGAATTTCTTCCTTCCTTTGAACAATCATTTAATTTATTGAAGCCGTTCAAAAATATTTCTTGAACCATATATTTTTATTCGTGACAAACAAGTGAAATGAAATTGCTTTAATCAGACCACCCGTCCGATTAAAGATATTACTGTTCCACTTGAGAACTATAAGAATTATATCATTTTCTGATAAAAAAAAAAAAAAAACTACATTAAGAACTCATTAACACGATCTAAAATATTTACCAAGATGTAGTAGTTGCTTTAATTTTTGCAAGATTATTTAAAAAAAAAATTTTACAAAACAATTACGAATAAACGATCTCTTCTTCAAATTATTCATTACTTAATATTCTTCGCCGATAAAATTCCATCCGTGAGAATGGAACAATCCTCGTCTCGCGAATATTTCCAGTTTTAAATCCATATTTCGACTATTACCCGACGAAATTGCCGATAAAATCAAAATCCCTCCCCGAAACGTAAACCGATTTCGCCTCCCATTTTCCAAGGAACGAAAACAAACAAATAAGAATACGAATGCCGATAAGAGACGAGAAAAATGTCTGGCGATGAATCCTGTTCTCAGATCGATACGAGTCAGCCACACGTTTGAAACGACTTTTGCTTTTCAGCTCGGCGTCACAGCTTTCAGGGATAGAGGCGGAGGAGGACACGAGCAACGAACGAGTGGCCACTTACAAAGTCGGCATGCTGGGTGCATCGGGGGTAGGGAAAACCGCCCTTACAGCGCAGTTCACCACCAGCGATTACATTTGCGCTTACGACACTTCTCTGGGTGAGTGAATCGCGCGTATCTTCATTTTCATCTGATAATTCGAAAGATATAACGAAAGTGATCCAATTACTGTACCGTTGGATGCCGAACGAGTGGTAACAAGTTAAAAAGTAACTCGATTCTCTTGCAACGAATTTCCACAGGAGAAGGAAATGTGACGTCACGTTACGACTTTGGCAGAGGTCTACATCACGTGATCAGGCGGGCATCCATTAAAATCGGTATTGTATCGCATCGCATCATTTCACGTGACGTAATTTAATAGCGTGGGGGCAACGTGATATTAGGCAGAGATACGTCACGTGGCATTATGCTTAGCTTAAGCTGATGCCTAATGTGATGTTGAAAGGAGAGGAGAGATAATATGACGTCACATTTTCTCCTCCTGCGGGAAATTCGCCGCAGGGGAATTGAGTTTTACTGATAGAAGCGCTCGTCCAACTGTGATTGGATGCAAAAAGAGCCTCGGCTCTTTTTTGAGTGGATTTAATTAAATTTTATGTTTCTTTTCTTTTTTTTTTCTTTTTTTTTTTTTATTATATATGTATATCTTGTAACTTTCATTGCTGTGTCTTCAAAACTGAAGAAATTACAATTGTTATTTTTCTAAAGAACTGAAGATAACCGAAGATTGTCGTTTTACCTCTTCTTGAATCCAACGTATTATAGTGCAATTATGGTAAAACAATTATGTAAATGTAATGTGTTTCGTGTAAATATTATTATCTATTTTAATTTTCGTTATTTGAATAGAATTTTAATGATTTTATATGTGAATGTATATTCTTGTTATCTTATTAATTCTTTCATTTTTTCTAGATGCACGCGTAAAGGTCAATTGACGATAATACGAATTAATTATCGAGTTCAAATCATTGAAACGATCGTATAAAGAAAATTTATAGATATACACGAACAACGTCTTTACAATGATTTTTATTTATCTTGGCTACGGTTTAATTACATCGTAAGTTTTATGACGCAATGATAAGGTAAACAGTGGTGCGCATAAAACTCGGTAATAAATATGGAACGTGAAAGACGTGAACATATAAACCGATGATATGTGAGATTATATAGTAAGATTGTTAATACTGGAAAGTTGCAGAGATTACAATACGATCATAAATTATACACTATTTTTGAATTTTCGATGTTTCATTTGTAATCATTATGCGTTGAAGAAATAGGAAAATCTATGAAATTAAAAAAAAAACTGAAATAGAAATTTCTCAAACATTAAAGAAAATTGATAAATATTTGCTTTGTAAATACACGTTAATATATCTATATAAAAAAATCAATCATTCAAGAAATATATTTTAAAGAGAAAAATATAAAATAATATAAACATTCTCTCTTACAAAAAATTATTCAATATCGTGCATACATGTTGAACGTTATGCATATGAAAAATATTTGTACGATATTTATTCCAAGACACAAGCTCAAATGTTTTTACAAAAATAAAACCAATTTTTTTCTCGTGGAAAGGATATTCTAAATGTTGACTTAATATTCTTCCTTACGATCATTGAGAGTTTCATATACATTTTAAGATGCACATCCCGTAGCATTTTCATCGTTTCCTCGAAAAGCAATAGTGGTTTTCATATTCGTTTTTCACTCGTATATGCAATAACCGGTAGTTGAATTTTCTTTTTTTTTCTTTTTTTTTCTTTTTTTTTTTTGAGGTAATGTTCCTCGATCGTTCCTTTCAACAATATTTTGCAATGGTTATCTTCAGACGATTGTATTGGATTTTTTCTCTTTTATTCCTTTGACGATATAAAAGTTGTTATTTTAGATGTTTGATTTTAGAATTATCCAGTTAAGAGGATATTGCGAGATACATTCTTTCTTATTTTTCAATTTAAAACCATTTCATCTTTTTACAAAAAATATATACCGAATCTTTTTATTATTCAATAACATTCACAGATATTTTTATGGAAAATAATCAAGATATAAAATAGAGTAAATTTTTGAAGTAATCATTTCAAAAAACCGTAATTTTCTTTAGCTCTATTTCTAAATTTCATTGCCACTACTCGATATCTGCTATACGTAATATAAGCAATATTTTACATTTCGATACGTAATTTATGACGAATATGAGATTGCTAGATTTCAATCAGTTTTCATTTTCGACGAAGCGTACAAATTTAACAAATGCGAAGAATTTTTGGCTTTCCATTTCATTCCATCTTTTCCTTTATATATCGCATACCATTATATCTGTTTTTATTTTAAATTGATCCGAAAGAATTACTAGAAATCGAAAACATTGATATTTATTTATTATTTTTTAAAATTTATTTAATTGCGAGGATAATGAAATGTTCATATGGAAATTTCTTTTCTTTCGAAAAAAAAAATAAAAAAGTCATTTTATAGCAGAAATGCTACATACTTGTACTCCACTTTCCAAAAAATATAAAGTGATCTTCAAAACTTTGGGCAAAAAATTTTATATACGATGCACGATAAAAAAGAACATATTGTTTCACAATATCGAGCGGTTATTTCAAACAGTAGTAGACTTCCCACATGTATGCAAATAGCATTGTGTGATAATGTATAGGAAATTAACTCCCTTGTATCCATGTGGATGAGGAGTATTTTATCTCGTCAAAAAAGTGCAATAACGTGATGGAAAAAATTAATTTTATGCCTCACAATAGTGGACTTTGCGTGTTTAAATATTTTACTACATGCTAACGATCATTATAGTAGACTTATCTCAATGGCTGTCATAATGGCCATCCTGCAGAACTACCGCTGCGCTTCAAATGGCCGCTATAGTGTACACAGCCGATAGATAGCGTAGAAATTGGCCGTAGGCGGAATAACAATAAATTATTTGCTACGGATCCATAGTCCTGATGTTTCTTTATCAGTTGCATTAATGAAGAGAAAACGACAGAAATGAGAAAATCGATAAAAAGTATAAAAGCTGTCACCCAGTTCACGGTGTAATATTAGCATTAAAATAGTTTAGTTGTCGATACGTTCTTGTGCAACTTGGACTTTTGTTAATTGTTAATACAATCAATGTCAGTGACGCAACATACGAGACATAAGGATGTCCTATTGATTGAAGAAAGAGTTATCTGGCTTATCTTTTGCGTATGCGTTCAGCACAAGTGTTGTCATCGTTATGTGCAGCCATTTTTAAATTTAGTTATATTTTTCGAGTATTTATTCTACTTGATTGAAAATTAATATCCGAGAATCACCGAGAATTTCTTTAGATTTTTGAAAAATTTTGCCTAGAAATATATTTTAGAACAAAATAGATGATGGAGAAAGTAGTAAAATGTGAACGTTTAACATTAAATAAGTATTTTTTCAGTTAAGAGAATTTAAAAAAAAAAAGTATATTTTAGTTCAAAATTTTATTGTTATGCATGGAGTAGTAAAATTAATAAAATTGGCTTCATTGAAGATGGTCACGATAAACGTGGCACTTGTATTCAAAAGTTTGAAACTAGATTATTCATTCATAATTTTTCCACTCTGATTTATTTTAATTGTGTATTTTACTAATGAAATGGTATGATAATAAACAATTTGTAAGTGTAAAATCATAGTCTTATAAAATAATAAGAACTATGAAAATCGCGTCCTTTATTATCATATCTTACATTGAGCAATCTTGATGACGAAGATCATTATATTATAGAAAATCGAACAAATAAAGAAAGATTTGATTATTTATAGAATTTTTGTTCAATGTAAACGAAAATGTAATTCATTTTCATCTTATTTAAATGTATTCAGAAATTAATAGGACATGAAATATGAATGAAAATTTTAACAAACAAATATTTAAAAATTAACAACATATTTGCATATTTAATTTTTCAAAATTTATAAGATTATTCATTTTATTTTCAAACAACAATAATAATAATAACAATAATATAAAACATTTCTCTATTCAAACCATTTATTACATAAACTGTATGTATAGTCGTTAGTTAATTATATGGAATCTGATATATTGTACATGTGCATTGCGTGACAAGAAAAATTTTTTATCGAAACAATAATGAAGAAAGTGGTGGCAGTTCTTATCTTGGCACTCAAACGTAAACGACCAAGAACTTGAGGCACTGAAATATCGATATTCACTTGGCAAAGTTCTTGCCTTAAAGGTACAAGAGAATCAAATTTGTCACGGTAACGATTCTTTTTTCGTTAATTTCCCTTGAACGAAGTTTTGAACAATGGCAAAAATGAAAATTGAATTCTTGTGGGAAACAACGTTACAATAGTGCTTCCTGTTGAAGGAACAAAATTGAAGGAAGTTATAAAAATGTGAAAAGTATTTATTTACGAATGAATGATTTTTAAATTATAAGAACAATCATTAATATTCCGAGCTATTTGTTTCCTTTTTAAATTAATTATACTTTTATTATAAATATAATAAATATAATATAGTAAATATCTTCAAAAAATTTCAATCCGATAAGTTGCAATAAATTTGCAATCAGTTTTGCACTTTTATTGCATTTATGTATAGAGAAGGAAAAAAGAATTTCGATGAATTATTTTATTATTCATACGAATGTTAAAATATCTATATTTCGTATGTATAAAACTAAAGGTAAAGTAATTTCAGTTTACTTTTTAACAATGATTACTTCTTCATCTTAACAGATTTAACAAATCATAAAATTCGAATAACTAACAAGTGTTGTCTAACAAGTATTTGTTAGATCGAATTTCCAATTCGTTTAAACATTGGAAACTCTGGCTATAAATGAAAGATCATCTGTGTTATCTGCACTCCGAAAGAAAGTTTCCAATTTTCATCGTCACACGCAGATTTAATATCTTGCGACATTTTGATTGAAATATCAATAATAACCTCTCTGTTAACAATTCTTTTTCTGTTATTTCGAATTGTACCATCTATTTTTATAAATATCCCTTTTTTTTTATTTTATTATTGTATTATTTTATTATTTTATTTATTTTTTATTTTTCTAACAATTTTCAGTGGAAAATAACATTTTTATGGAAAATAAACAAATCTTTCAATACATATAAAAGAAACAAACAACGAGTAATGAAAAATTCATAAAAAAAATTCTCTTTCTATTTCGTAAAAGACATTGAAAGTGCAAAAAAGAAAAAAAAAAAAAAAAAAAGAAAAGAAAGAAAAAAAGAAAAGAAAGGAAAGAATTAAAAAGAACTCGGATATACAAAACATTGCAAAAAAAAAAAAATTCAAAACTGTTTTGTCTCTCAAAAAATCGCTTTGTCGAACTTAACCTATTTTTCCATTTTATCACAGAATTTCGTGACCTGATTTTTTAAGAATGTCCATTTACCGTCGAGTAAAAATAAAAATAATTTTACTTTTAAAAGATGATTATATTTATATATTTATTTAAAATTAATATCGATAACTCGAAATTTTTGATTGTTTATTTGCATATTTTAAACTTAAAGATTCTGAAAATTTTCAATTAGAAGAGCTTTTAACAAATCGACTTATATTTTTCCTGCAAAAGTGGAAAGTAATTCGAGATAACTCGTGAAAAAAAAAAATATTTTCCAACTCGATGGAAGTGAAATAGAATTTTAATCTGGAAAAAAAAAAGGAACGAAAAGTTTCGTATATGATAAAATGAAATATTCACGCAATCTAGAAATTTCCAACAACGTGATAATCTTCTTCAATTCAAGAATCAGAACTATTTGAAGTTAAATAGAAAACTTTCACGTCGATATGATCTTATCTTATCTTTCTTATTTTATATTTTTGAAGTAACTCAACCGAATATTTTATATATTCTCTACTATCCTTTTCGTTCAAATTTTTGCCTTTTTTTTCTTTATAATTCATATTCATTTTTGTTTCAAAATATATTATATATTTTTAAACATTTAAATATTCCCTCATTTAATTAATATTAAATTTTTCCTGACTCATTTTTTAAAACCAAAGAAATATTGAATGTAATTTTTTTTCTTTTTCTTTTTTTTTTTTTTTCCCCTTTTAACATAAACCAACAATCAATAAATGCAAAACGAGAAAAGGCAAATTATTTTGTACACGTTCATTTTTTTTTTTTTTCATTTTACTAGAAATAAAGGGATTTTACAAAAAGTTTAATATTAAAATATTAAATATTAAAATAGAAAAAAAACGTAGAACATATACGAACAACAACAAAAGCTTTGTATTTTTAAACAACAAGGCAAATTTAACAATAATTCCACGTTATTATCGGAACATAAAAATGGAATAAAAAACTAAAAATAGAAATATTGCATAAATGGAAATCTTTTGCTTCTCTTTCTCACAAATTTGTACTGGAACACAATTACATCGATAAAATATTATCTAATATATTTCTAAAATATTAATCGAACGTCATATTTATGCAAACAAGATATTTCATTGAAATAATATTTCAATCATGTCTTAAACGTTTATAAAAACGTTTATATAAACGTTATCAAACGTTATTCTCAAACACGTCACACGTGATACAACAATTGTTTGTCACGCGACATTTAATTAACTCTTAATCGAAAAGCGTTACTTTTATAAACCAGTCCGGTCATCTTTGAAACGTTCGATGTGTGATCGTGATTAACATGTTCAATCCTGCGCGAAATTTCGAGTTAAACTTTTAAAAAATAAATGAACGGTCCGATCGAAATGTTTTTTTAATTAAAGGCACTTTAGGACCCAGTTATTATTCAACAAAGATGTAAAACCTGTGTGATAGGGTCAATTTTAAACTTTAAAATGCGGATAGCTATGCGCATATTCTCTCTTTTTGTTTCCTTTTTTTTTTCTTTTTCATAAAACGCGGTAGAAACGAAATTAACAAATTTTTATTTTTAAATAAAAATAAAAGTGTACAAAATTCTTCGATGATCGAGTTCAATGATCTCTAATATTTTTAGATTTTAAAATGAAGGTTATTTTCATTACTATTTTTTTAAATGGAATTCTCCTTTTTTTTTTTGCATATCGTAAAACTAATTTTATTATTTATATTGTTTCAGATGAGGAATACGGACAGAAAAGCGTATCCGTAATGCTCAATGGCCAAGAAACAGAATTGGAGATCATAGATCATCCTGCAGCAGAGATGTCGGTAAGTTTAAATAAATTGATATAATTGTCAATATTCTCATTAACAATTTAATTATGCAAACATTTTTCCTTCTTTTTTTTTTTTAGTCTTCATTTTCTTTTCAACCAGTCTTTTGTTTTCCATCCTTGTATCCATCATACAGACGTTCTTATACTTGGATTTTTGTAGCAAAAGGATTAGCTCGCTTACTTAAAATGAATTTATCTCACCATTGCATTATGCTTATCTTGTTTGAAAATACACATTATATATTTAAATTTTATGAAAAAAAGTTAGACAAAAAATGTGTGTGTGTATATCTATCTTGATAAAATTGAAATTCTCTTTTTTTTAAAAAAACAATTTCGTTTAACATTAATTCGTCTTAAGATCTTTTTCTTTTATAGATAAAATAGTATAATTGAATTTTAAATATTCTTTTTTAAATTATTTTAATAATTCAATTATTATATCAGCATTTAATATAACAATCATAAAACCATAGAAAGGTAATTTAAACTTGTGGTAAAGCTTCTTCTAATAAAAGTTTCTTTAACAAAATATTGTTAACAGCAAGTTTTTTATTCATCACAGGTTGAAACATTCTGTTCGACATACAATCCAGATGTTTTCGTAGTAGTTTACTCGGTAGTGGACAGACGAAGCTTAAAAATGGCTGAAGAGACGTTGCTCTATCTATGGAAGAGCGATTACATGGCTAGCCGTGGTGTTATTCTTGTTGGGAACAAAGTTGATCTGGAACGGAAACGTGAGGTTCCATCTGTCGGTGGGTAGATAATTAATAATAAAAAATAATTTCGTAATCTTCAGAAGAAAAAAAGAAAATTCAATTTAAATTTCTTAATTTCTTTTCTTCTTTTATTTTTTTCTATTCTATTTTTATCTATATATACTATAAACAATTAATATAAGATTATTAATTAAGAAATGCAAACGTTTTTTATTTATTAAAAAGTTGAAAAAGTCGCAAAAATAATGAAATAACCAATCTCGTTTGATCTCGTTTGACTCTAATTACTAGAAATTACCTCGTATAATTACATTTTGATATTCTGACGAGATGAAAGTTTTTATAAACAGAAAAGATCAAGAATAAATTACAAACCATATTTATAAATTAAGTTAATTTTCATTTTTATAGTCGTCAAGGCTGTTATTCTTATTCTCAACTTCTTGCTCGATTAACCAGTCGTTCTAATGAGAGTAGACAGTTAACATTTTGCGTGATAATTGCTCTACGTAATTACGTTTTCGTGCTTTTAAGCATTAAATGAAATTAAATGAAAGTATATATTATGATAATATGAATTGATAAGGAATTTACCTTTCGTATATTCAATAATCTATTTCAACTTTTGGTATTTTTTAAAATTAATTTTTTTATCATTATTTAATTCATAAATATTTAATTACATGTATTTTAATGCTCAAAATTATTATTGAATATTTTTGTTTTTCGATTTGGAAAAATTTTAAAATCTTAGCTACAAATAAAGAAATTAAGCTACAGTAAAATATCGATTATCATCCAAAGGTTAATTATTGGATTTCAGTTAATCAAGTGATCAATTATTCGAACATAAGGTGTATATAAAAATATTCATCATTTTAAAATGTTACTTTAATTATTTGTTCAAATCTAGTGATTCACTAGCAACGTATACCCAACACTACCGAGACAAATGTACGTGATTGGCCAATATTTTTCGTTAATAATTCATTAAGAAAATTTTTGCAAAGGAAAAAATTATTTGAAATCAGTTCAGAAATCGTCAATTAAGCTTTGTCATCGTTTAAAACATCTAATTTTTTTATTTTAATTGTTTCTTTTTTTTTTTTTATTAAAGTTGGTCGACGTATGGCAAACAATTGTGGTTGTAAATTCATCGAAACATCATCAGGACTTGCCCATCACGTAGACGAGCTGCTGGTCGGCATTCTGGCGCAAATTAAGTTGAATCCTCAACGAGATCGAGACCAAGCAAACAGACGAAGAAGAAGCAAGCATCGCAGGAGGATTCTGAAACACCTGTTGGGTTTTAAGAGGAAAACGAAAAGCTGCGAGGACTTGTTCGTTCTCTAACGTTTCCCTGGTTTGAAATAATGACGTAAAGATTCGTCAATCGTATTGTTTCTTATTTATTTTCTTCTTTTTCTTTTTTTACCTACAGTTGATTTAATGTATAGCAGAAGAGAGATAAAATTTGGAGAAAACTGGATATAAATTGAGATAAATATTAAAATTTAAAGAATTTAAAATTTAGATTTAAATTTTGACACGTTATATCAGTCGGATAGCAAAATATAATTTTCCACATAAAATTATGTGTGTGAAGTGTTTCTTAAAGAAATTTCTTAGATTTTTTGAAAAGATATCTTATCAGGGTTCGCTATATCTTGTTTTTTTTTTATCAATATTTGAATATTTCCATTATTATAATTTCTTTGTTTTCCAAAAATTTGAACGAATCTTAAAGAGTATCATTTATTGGAGGATAGATTGTATTTTTTTCAAAGTGGATGGGGAGGAATTCCAGATATTTTTAAGGAGTGAATTCGTATGTTTTAAATCGATTCGAGTATATCGAAATCGATATGAATAAATTGAACAAAAAAATATCTTCATTGACATGAATCTGAAAAATTAGGGAAAAATTATACATGTGTATATATTTATATATTTTTAATTTTAAATATCAATCCGATTTCAAATGGAAAACACGATTGAGAAAATATAAATTTATATAAATACACTTGATGCAGATTTTCTGCATGATTTATCGAATGAATGAATGTTGTAGCAAATTTTGTTTTTACTATTAGATACCTTGTGAAACAGTATTATAATATTGGGATAAAAATTTTCAAGATACGATTTAAGAATTAGGAATTAAGGAAATGAAGTTTATGATACCATATCAGAGGTGTATATAAACTTTATTCTTAATGCAAATTAAATTACTTCGGCATTGATTATTTCATATGTTCATTGTATATTTATTTTAAAAAAGAAATTATGTTGAAGATTTTAGTTTAATGGAAGACGAAAATGAGGAAATAAAAATCATAAAAAAAGACCAATGTTGTTTGAATACTGTTTATAACATTATTTTTCTCTCAGAAAAATAAAAAATATTTATTTCAAATTTCAGATTTATAAAACGAATTTAACGCATAGATCTGTAATCAACTGGAACGAATCAACAATTTCATTTTCCATTTATTGAAAGAAAAAAATTTATTTCAATAAAACTAAAATTATTTTTCTAAGAACTTTCACATTGTGCAATACTAATTTCTTATGGGAACAAAGTAACTCTGAACTTATAAATATCGAGAATTGAATAAATTATTCAAGTAATAATTAACAGTGAATTGTGATTACTTTTGCAATGTACAATTTTACAAATAATGAGAAAGATTTTATGGAAATAAAAGAAAATCGACAAAAAGTTTAAAATATAAGTTTATTATTAAGAATCAATAGATGGTTTTAAAGAGATTAAGATTCTATGGAATTCCTCGTTCCTAAATAAAAATAGAATTTTTTTCTTTTTAATTTATCATTAATTATAATTCTTGTTTATCAAAGAAAGTCGTAATTAATTCTTTATTAAATGAAAGTTTATCTTCGTCAATAAATAAATTTTGATTATCCTTGGATTATATGGTGACTACAGTAATTATATTAAAATTAGTTATTTTAAATTTAATTATTATATACGTATAATGAATTATTAATTATGAAATTAAGCTGCTACTTAATTTTAATATTATAAAATATTTAATTTTATTTTGCAAAAGTATTAATAACTACAAATTCTAGATAAATTTATACTTAAATTCTTCTCCAAAAATTAAATAAATTAATTGGAATATTGTTGTGATTGACCTATGATCCAATAACCAAAGCAAGGCATATCGAACTTGTATGTAAATTAAGTCGAAAATTAAAAAAAAGCTTACAAGTTTAAGCTTTCTAATCGTAAGTTGCAATTGACATGATATTGAATTCTTTTTAATTTTATAAACAAATTATAAATGTTTTTATGCCATTTATTAAAATACCCATCAATATTGTAAATTAGATAATTTTTTCATCTATTTATCGATTAATACTTATATACTCATCGAATATTTGACTAGGCATCATATAAATAATGAATCTTTCTATAAATTTAAAAGAATTCTTTATATAATTAATAATTAATAAAAATTAAGCAATCAGAAATTGAAGGCAAAGAATTTTTCATATAACATAAGATTACATGATAATATATAATAATATTTAACATTTGCTGATTCTATAGTACACAGATAACACGTTAATCTTTTGTAATATCTTTGAGTCCGTCTTATTCATTCGGACCTCTTTCAGAAAAATAAAAAACTTTTTTAAAAAATCTGAAAATTTTCAAAATTATTTATTATCATTTCTATCTTGTTATACAATAAATTTTTAAACTAATCGAAAAATTTTATCGATAAAAATATAATGAAAGTATTCGGATTCAAATATACTACGAAAGATTAATAAAAAAAATTAACTTATCACTCAATTAAATAAATATATCTTTAAAGATTAAAAAGATTGTACAGAATAATATTTCGATTTTAATTTTCAGACGCAATTATGTTCCTAGATTCTTTGTATCGCATTCATATAGAATCACAAATGAAACTTCGATTTCTCGCGTAAAAAAAAAAAACTAGAAGAAACTAAAAATTTTGTCAAATTTTGCGATATCTCAATTGATTGCCGAGATATAAAGATTCAAAGCATTCATAATATAACGCGAAATTATGAATGAGCTCGCGATTCTGGCCTGGATTATTTCTGGAAAATGCGTGCTATATCTTTCTAAGAATCGAAAATTACTTTTTCAGGAATCGCGTCTATCATTTGTCTGGAATTTGGAAGAGAATAATCAATGAAATAAAGTGCAAACGAGAGATTCGAGTGAACAACTAAGGATAAAGATTAAAAATTACTCTTTCCTTTACACAACAAAATCTTAGTAACCAAAAGTCGTATCGAGATAAATAAAAATGCATTTTAAAGGGGAAAGTTCCTTCACGCTTTTAAAATGATCGTTTACTCGTTATCTGGAAGTCACTTCGGAGTCACAACGGTTTAAAGTTTGTCCAATTTTATAATAGAGTTTAATCAAGTTCAAAGTAAATGATTGATGAAAAATTATTCTTTTTTATATGAGGATATCTCATGAAATCTCTCAATGGAAATTGTATCGAGATAAACTGTTTTAAAGGATAAGATTCTAATGATCTTTCACTTGACTAGTATTTTTGGAGTTTAATAACAGTTCAAAATCTTATTTGACACGATTTTCAAGAAGATTTTATAATATATTGCGTCTGAAGATTAAAATAATACACCCTGTATATGAGACGAAAGCAACGATTAAAGAATTTTTTATTCTTCTGAAAAAGTTTCTACACCTAAGTGGAAATATCCTTCCAACTATCTATATATAAGAAAGAAAAAGAAGCGGAAAAAGTGAGAATAAAATATCTATTTTAGAAAAGAAGCGAGAAAATAGAGTATGTATCATAATATACATAAATTTATCGGTAAGTGATCGATAATTATCCGTGACCAACTAAATTGACTTCATCGATTTTTGCGTCTCAAAAATAGTAATTATGTCTTTTCCACTAACTTTTAAGCTTTTGCTATAAGATAGTGGATATCTCATAGCTATTACTATTGTAGTATTAAAAGTTTCATGGATTTATTGTATGCTAGACTTCAGTTTAAGCCTTAGAAAAAATTCTCTATCCTGTAAATCGATTCGAGACGAGTATGCTTATTTTAAGCTTCGAATCATGGGACCGTATTCGACGTACGAATAAAATTCTTGTGTACGATGTCTTATCGTTTGTTCGAATTACTGACCTTATCCATAATTTCAATATTTCCTATTTTTATATACTTTTTTCTTATTAATTAAACTTTGCAGTTAGAAACAGAAATATTGATTCTTATTTCTCAATAAAACTCAATCTTTTTTCAAAGTTATTCATATTTTTTGTTACATTGTATATTATATACATTACATTAAAATTATCATTGCACGGTAAAGTTTTAAAATGTAGGATTACCGAGAAAATATATCAAATAATATTTTTACAATTTTTTTGTCCTTTTTCATACTTGATTAATAATCCAAGTATCTTTCAATACAATCGTCCTGTAGTATACAACATTGACACGTGACCAAATTAAAATATCATTACAATAGCATTAAAAAAGAAAACAATTTATTTTGATGAAATCAATTTCATTACCTTTCATAGACTCTTAATTCTTCAAAGACAATTTTATTTTTCTTATATATGTCATCAATAAGAAACTGAAAAATATAAAACAATAATAAAATTGTAACGATTTTCCATAATTTCATAATAGCATAGAAAAATCATTAAATTTGTTTTTAAAAACAATTCTTTTGTATTTAATATTTTAATTAAACAAAAATTCTTTTTCTCAAACAAGAAAAAAAATTCTGATAGAAAATCTGTTTTTTTTTTTTCAGTTATCATATTTGGAACCATTTCATATTATTTTTCTTTTCAACTCTTTTCAACTAAATATATATTGTAACAAAGTTCACCTGGATAGCATGGTAATGAAGTTGGACAACATGGTACTATACGCAATGGAGGAGGACCCCTTGAAGGACAAATTGGAGGACATGGAATGCAAGGACTAGGAACTATCGGTACCCGACAAGAAGGAGGTGAAGCCGCACAAGAAGAAAACGAAACTGGACAAACTGGTGGTGATGGACAACAAAGCATCGGTGGACAGACCGGTGGAGGACAACAGGGTCTCTGAACAGGCGTACATGCAGGTAACTCTTCGATTCTAGGTGGTAATAGAACAGAACATACAGGTGGGGGTGGTATACATGGGCATTTGCTGAAAAATAAATTTGAAAAGTTTGAGAATAAGGTAATTTTTTCGTTATTTCATTATTAAGATTTTATTTTCTAAATTTATTCCTTACATTTTCTCTTTATCGTTTATTTATATACAGAATAAAAGAGATAATGATTACTTGATGAAAAAATAAAAAAATATATAGAATATTTTTTCGTTCCAGATTTATATTAGTTTTCAAGATTGAAATGTAGAATTTAATAAGAATTAAAAAAAGGTAATAAATATGTAATTTGTTGGCGAAAAATTAAATAATTGAAAGAAAAATAAAAATGTGCCATATTTTTATTTTCAGTTTTATAATTTATTAAAATCTTTATTTAAATGTTTAAATTATAAAGAAAAATTACGTTATTGTAAAAAAAAAGTGTTTTTCAAAAGTTTATTTTAATTTTAAACATTCGGTTTCGCAAAGATTTTTTTTTTATAACTATAAGAGATTGAATCTTTAACTAAAGAATAATAGGAAAAATAAACGTACCAGCACTCAATAGCGCAAAGCAAATATTTCATTTCCTCCAAATTGTTCCATGTTCCCTGCGTTTTATTGCAACTCATTTTAAATTTAATATGAAAGATATTCTATTATATTTTAATATTTACAATATTTTCGTAGAGACCTTCTTAAAAGAGAAATTTAATGAATTACATATTTATATAATGATATAAAATACAATTTTGAATTTTTTGTTACATCAAATTGGTTATAATGTTTTGTATATAATATAAATAAAATAATTAAAAATTTTCGAATCGCAAACAAAAGTTACCAAAAAGGATTCTTTAATCTTTTGTTTAAACATACAAAATTACTATGAAAAAATACCAAACAAAAATTTAGATATTTTATTTATATTTTAGTATTTTTTAATTATATTAAATTTTTTTCTAGAAAAATAAAAATTTGAAAATATAAACTAATAATTTAACAAAATAAAATAACGAAAAGAAAAAAATAAAATTATATATTCAAAAGAATTTTTATATAGATAATATTTATTTCAATAATTTTTCTTAAATTTGTTATTAATATGCTAGTGTAATTTTTTATTTCATATATAAAATATAATTATTTATAAAATATTTTTTTATTTCACAATTAAAATAAATTGAATATTATATATTAATATTTATAATAATATTAATATTTATAATAATAATCATAAATATGCATTCATGAATAATTTGATTGGAATTAAAAAATTAAATATAATTGTTTTTATTCCTTGAAATAAATTTTGTTTATAAGCATCACCAACTATATATTTTTATACCACTTGTCAATCTTTTACTATTTAGATGATCATTTACAATTTTATATTGAATTATTCTATATATAATTTTTTTTTTTAAACGATTTTAAAACGTTTTTATAATCTATTTATTTTACGATCTAAAAATTTATTGTTAGCATATAATGCAGCCACCAGAAGAAAAGAAAAAGACTCCTTATCAACAACTTATGATAAAAATAGCCTCTGTTTTTCCTTCAAGATTCGCTCCAATTTTTTTACACCCTGCAGGTTTGAATCAATTTTTATGAATAAAATACATAAAATTTGTAATTATTATTAACATTTTTATTAATACAGGACCAACTACAGTATTTTTCTGGGCACCTACATTTAAATGGGGTTTGGTAATAGCGGGAATTGGAGATCTTAGACGACCACCAGAAACAATTTCTCTTAGTCAAACTGCAAGTCTTATGATTACTGGCGCTATATGGTCTAGGTATTTTTTAAATAATATTATTTTCTCTCAAAGATATATGTGTATATATTATTTTAAATAATAAAAAAATCGTATTATTTATCCATTAGATATTCCCTAGTTATCACACCAAAAAATTACAATTTGTTTAGTGTAAATGCATTTGTATGCTGTACAGGAACGTACAGTTTTATAAGAGGATTGCTTTATCATATGCAAAAGGAACAAGAATAAGGATTTTAAGGATTTATTATTATTATATCATTATTATTATTGTTATTGTTATTATTATTATTGTTATTATTATTTTTATTATATTTATTATTTATAGTACATATACCAAAAAAGAATTTATATAAAAATATTTTATATATTAATTTTGAAATTTTATTTCACAGTAACGCTAACTATTCGAATATCATCATAAGGTTTATCAGTTTTTGGATTTGTTTTTACTTGACTAATATTTTGTACAACCTCCATTCCTTTTATAACTCTACCAAATACAGTATGTTTATTATCCAACCAAGGCTGAAACAAATATAAAATACATATTAATTAATATATATATATATATTAATTAATAGTTATATATATTAATTAAAAATTACATATAATTATTATTAAAAAAAAAAAAAGAAAAGAAAAATATCATTTCAATTTACAGTTGGTGTCAAAGTGATAAAAAATTGACTGCCGTTTGTATTTGGTCCAGCATTGGCCATACTTAAAGTGTATGGTCTATCATGTTTTAAATGAGATTTAAATTCATCCTCAAATTCTCCTCCCCATATACTTTCTCCACCAGTACCAGTTCCAGTAGGATCACCAGTTTGAATCATAAATCCTTTAATTATTCTATGGAAAATATGTCCATTATAATAACCATTTTTTGCGTGAACGCAAAAATTTTCCACTGTTTTCGGAACATCTTTTCCAAAAAGATTTAAATGAATATCTCCAAGAGCAGTATGAATAATTGCTTGATCATAAATCTTTTGTACATTTGTAGCTTCTGTAGAGGAAATAATATCCTCTTTTGATGGTCTTTCATTAAAAACATCCCTATCACATTCTTGGCTTTTAGTATCTTCTGGTTCTCTCCTTGTAAACATATAAAATCTATTTTTTTTATAAGCTGTACAAAAGAGAGTTGGATCAGGACGATTCATTTCTAATGTAGGATTTTCTGCAGCTTCCATCTCTACAGTCACTGCAGCTGTAGTTTTTCTCGCTTTTCCCTATAAATTTTTAAAATATAAATTAGTATTAAAATAAAAATATTTACAAATTTCTTTTGTACATACTTGAAATAGGGCTAATTGCATAGGACGAATATTTTCAGGTTTTCCCATAATTCTAATACATCGATTTGTATACAAATTTACAACTTTTACACCTAACATTGTACTATATAAAACTATATAACCCGACTCATCGAAAACTATATTTCCTAAATTTGTTTCTGTTTTATCCAGCTCTCTTTCTACTGCCATTCTAAGCATAATATAATGTTAAAATTTTAATAAAAAAGGATTTAAATATAGTCTAATTTAATTCGAAAAAAATTTTACCTTCGTCCGAATTCCATGTTCGGCAATTGTTGCGTCACTTGTTGTAATTCAGAAAACCTTTGTAATGTTTCATCAAATATTCTATACAATTTTCCAGTACGAAAAGTAAAAACTCTAACTTTTCGATCTCCACTGAGAGAAGCAAATCTTTTACCATCTGGAGATATTGCTAATCCACAAGGATAAGTTTTATTTTTTGCAAATTCGAACAAATCTGTATCTAACTTAGATTCAAATGTAACACATTTAGGAAACTTATACTCCATTTTAGGTCCTGTCCAATATTCTAAAATGCCTGCTTTATCCACAGAGATGCATGTTTCATATATCGAATTATACTACAAATAAAAATTTATATAAGATTATAAAAATAAAATCACAAAATACAATTAATTATGCTATTTTTTTTTTTTTTTTTTACTTTTCATAGCAACTACAGGTTTAGTATGTAATTTTTCAAAAACATGTAATGGTGTATTAGTCCCTTGTCCATCATAAATAAAAATTTTATTAGATTCTTGAGCAGAAACTGCTATTGCAGATATTGCATCACCAGGAGAATATATCCATTCACAGCAAAGTGGTATATAATCTAGTTTCATCATATTAATCATATCTAAAATAAAACTATTAACATTTTACAAACAATTAAATTATATATAAAAAATTATTAAATATATATATAAAGTTATTTACCAAAATTGATAACATCAAAAATTTTAATTGTTTTATCCAAACTCACGGTACATGCATGAACACCATTGCAACTAGCAGCCATAGATTGTATAGCCATTAAATGTGCACGAAAATGTTTTACAAATTCTATAAGTTCTTCTTGTTTTTTCCAAAATTTAACATGACCATCACAACTACCCGTTATTATAAAATTTGATCTGTATAAATATAAATATAAATATAAAATTATATTACAATTTGGAAATTATTATTATCAAGATTATTATATATAAATTAATATTAACTTTGTTACCACAATATGAGTGATTACATCTCTGTGCATATAAGACTTTTCATAACATTCACAACATGGTAAATTATCTATGTATACTTGCTCATATTCCAGAACTGTAAAAATTAAATAAATAATGCTGAAGATTATATTTAATATAATTAAATACATACAATGTTTAAAAAATTTTATTAAATTCATAATTTTATCAAAGTAAAAGAAATTCAAATATTATTGAGTATTTATTTATTTATCATTAATATAAAATATAATATAAATTTAAATAATAATATAATAATTTAAGGTTATCTCATATTTTTTTCATATAAATATCAATATTTTTTTTATAATTTAAAATCATATTAATAAAATTTTGTACATAAGAGAGAATAAAAAATAAAAAACTAATTTAAAAAAACTTATTTAATTCATAAAATAATAGAAAGAATAAATATAAAATAAAGATTATGATATTCTAACCTTTTTGTTTTTTTTGAGGTACAGCTTCTGAAGGTAATGGACCAATCCAATCTTCTTCATTATCACTTTCATTATGTTCTCTTTTATTACATGACATTGTCATTAAAAATAAAAATATATGATATAAAAAAGTAATACTTAATGTTTAATATAATACAATGTACAACCCTATTCTTAGCTTTACTGTTGTATATACATATATATATTTATTTTGAATTTAAATCTCGTAATATCATAGATAAACTGCATAATAGATTTGATATTCAATATTCAATTTTCTATCCTATATTTTAAAATACTATCTCTTTATTTAATTTATCATTTTCAATTTCCATTATATATATCTTTTTAATTACAAAAAGCTGTTTTAAAATTAAAAAATCTTTCTAATTACAAAAAGCTGTTTTAAAAAAAATTATTAAAATTAGAAATAAATTTATATATTATTATTTATAATTTATTTCAAATTTTATCAGATTTTTATTTATAATGTATTTTAGAATCGATACCATGTATCTATTACAATGCAATATTATTTCATATATTAATACCATGAAATTAATATATTTATAATAGATTTGATTTCCAAAAATAAAATTATATCTTTTTAAATTTTAATATTAATTTTTTTCAAAATAAAATGTTTTCAAATATTTAAAAATTATTAATATATGATTACAAATTAAAAAATTAAATGATGGAATACAATGAAATATACATAACAGAAATTTTTAGATACATTTTAAATCTTGAACTATAAAAATAAATTGTGAATTAATATTGTATTTATTTGCTTATCTATGGTCATGCATTAAAAGCAAATAGATAGAAGATAGATCCAAAGATAGAGTAAGAATTCAGCCATTTTTAAAGTAAAACTAATTAAAAAAGGAAAATAAATACTAAAATAAAGATAGATATAAAATAAGAATTGATTATATCATCTCTTAAGTATCAAAGACACCTCTTCAAAAAACAAGAGATAAGGTAGAATAAGAATTTAAGACCAGTACTCTGTGTTTTAGAAAGATAATTCTTTAAATAAATATATTTGATATTTCAGAGATAACGCTGATGAACGTTAATTCTTATCCTTATTTCTAACTTTTTGCCATTATTTTCTGTCCTGTGTTTCATTTGTATCACTCTAAAAATGGCGTTAATTCTTGAATTTTTACAATATTTCTATTCTTGTCTTATTATTTACTGTCCTTGTTTATACTTTTTTTTTAGTATGATCATATATATATCAATTAGATATATTTTCATTATTTCTCTTCAAAAATTAACTTAACTTGTAATATATTTTAATATATATCTAGGACAATTCACAAAATTTAAAATATCCTAATATATATAATGATTGCCGATTTTTTTAAATGAAATCATATAATTTGAATATATTAATCGATTCAATTAGTCATTTTCTATAAATAAATATTAGATCATATATATAAAAAAATCATTAATTTATAAAATATTTTAACTTGAAATTTGTTGTAAAATTTATTTATGAAAGACAAAATATATATGCAATATTTTTTTATTTAAAATTTATTTTAAATAATTTATATATTATTTTTTGAATTTTAATTATTAAAAATATATTATAATTTAATAATTTTAATATATTAAAAAATATTGCATAGTTGTGGATATCTAAATAACTTACATATAATAAAAACTCATATTTTAATTATACAATACATAATTTATGTATTTATATTTATATTAAATATTTATATTATTTTCTATTTATAATTAAATATATTTAGACTTTAATATTATAATAAAATATATAATGATAATAAAAATAAATATAAATAAATTTGAAATAATATAAAACATGTTACTGGATCAAAAAAATATTGTATACTTTAAAATTTTACGAAAATATGAATTTTTGAATGTATAATTTGTAAAAGTATAAATTATTTTTATATAAATATAAATAATATTTTTATATATAATATTTTTTACAATTGAATTTATTATTTCTAATTAATTTTTGTGTATTCTAAAACTTATCAAAATATGAAGAAACAGGAATATATTTAACCTACTCCACTAATATAATTTCAGTATAAAAAGTACGAAGCCGTGTGACGTTATTGTGTTATATATACGGCTTATTTGTTTATAATTTATTTAGAAAGCAATTCATATTAAAAGTTGTTATTGTTATTTATTCAAGTAACGTTCAAATCTGTTGTATTTCTTAATATGACTAGGTAAGATCTAAAAATTT